TTTGCCACTGTAAAAAGGCGTAAGATGCAAGTGACCAGCCTTAAGAGTTCAATCCCTGCCCCACTGCTGGTATAAAACAGTCTTCTTGATTTGAGGGTAGAGGCAATAAGGGGATGGTCTCTACTGCCTGGGTTAACATGCACAATCCCTATTGAGAAGGAATCTTGTTCTTGCTTGCTCGATAGAGAAGAGTCGGAAGCCCATAGCCCACCCCTTTTCCCAATATACTCTAAAGCTGGAAAATCGGCAGCAACAAAGCTAGCTGGCCTTTTCCAGGCTAAGACAAACTTTTCTTCCTCACAATTCAAGTCAGGAGTTGTTAACTTAGAGTTAGGGTGCTCGATTTCCATCTTGGCTTCTTATTTAAACTCTTGCAACTCAGAACTTGTCTGTTGTCCGCCCTCCCCCCTCCTCCCCCCCCAGCAAGCACAGGTCAAGCTCTTAAACCTGGCTTGCATTTTACATTTTAAATCTTTCTCAATAGGCGGACAAGTCATTTACTATGGTACTTTCTGGCTCTGTTTTTAGCTGGGAGGGGGCAATTAGACATCACTTTGTTTCAGAAGATATATGTACATGTGTAAATGCACACACATGCACATATGCACACACACACACAAACATTCCACAGGGATCTGTTTGAAAGAGTCAGTTCCAGTTAGTCAGACATGATTATATCACACCAAGTCATGGAAGAGCTTTTTTACCTCATTTTCCGTAGAGTCATTTGTTCCCTGATCTTGGCTAAACATTGAATCTAGCTATGGCTACATCTCTATAGATGACTGTTTAATATTAGAGACATTTGTTACTGGTACAGTATCCAGATTTGTGTACAGGGAACAGGGAACTGTACTTAACTCACTATGGTCTAACCTTTCTCTCCAAGTGTTATAGGTGTCCCTCTCATTTAGCCTGTTTATGGCCTACAGTGTGCAAAATCATGTGTTTTGTTTTGTGCTGTCTATATGTGTTTTGTCAAGCTAGACATTGTGATTTGTAAACCATGACTTACATTTTAGCCAGTTGGGTATTTATAAACAAATATAGTTTATTCAGTAAATCATGGTTTATCCATAGTATGCAGCTGGGTAGATCTTTATTTTTTTTTAGCACTTTTAGAAATTCTATTCTGCCTGAACTGCCCCATCACACACTGGCAAATTCCTCATTTTCATTAATGAAATTATAACCTTACCCTGGTTTTCTCTTCTGTCCCTTTTTCCTATTAATGGTTGGAACCATAGCCATCACAAATCCCCTGAAATTCATGAGATTGCAAGCATTTGAATTGTCTCCTACTCCAATACTGTTTTACAAGTCTCCACCTTCCCCTATTATCCTTCAAATATCCCTATACTATACAATTGACAAGCAGTTAATATTTGATAAATTATTCTAGAAGACCAGGACTCAAGAAGGAGATCATGCTCAGCACGATCTCTTGTCCTTCCAAAACTAGTGGGATTTCCTTGTGAGCCTCCTAGTCTGAAGATGACACATGACCTTGCCAACTGTTTTTGCTAAAGTGTATTATTGAATCCTGGGCCCACCCAGGCAGATATGAAATCCTCATTTTCTTCTGGGCAGGACTGGGCACTGGCAGGAGTGGAGTGGGATGAGCAAGGCTTTGCTCCAGTGATTTAGCAATAAGGAGTAAAACCTTAGAAGCTGTTGTGGCTGTCTGTCTTATTATTCTTGGACTAATTTTGCAGAGTTGATGGGCAGGCTGTTAGCCTCCAGCATTGTGACAATGTTAAATTTTGCTGTGGTCAATGAGATATTCTGGCTCCTGAAAGGCTTGGATGTTGTGGTATGCTTGAAGAAGGAAATATTAGTCTTGCTAGACCCACATAGAGGAGATCTTCTGTTTTGGCTCTGGGGACCCCTAGGAGGAATAAAATTTCTTTCCATGTAGAGACTGGTTGGAAAGTGATTTGTAAAGAAAAAAGACTCACCCAAACCCAAACCTGACCCTTGAATTATGAACTGCTGCTGAGATCAGTCTCTTCTGCCAATAAAATTTCCTGGGCATAGATGGGACTGAGGTAGAGTGGGGAAAGGACTTTCTGACAGAGTTCTGATATAAAACAAACATATAAGTGAGAATATCCTTAGAATTAAAATAATATTTCAAAGGGAAAACTAACTTATTATGGAAGCTATATAACTGTAGCATTAAAATAAATTATGTTGGGGGTTTATCTATTTAATACCAGTAACACTAATGGTAAAATCAAGAAACCTCATGACTTAGATCAATGCACAAAACATTTTGATCCAAAACCTCACCATCAAACAAACCTCAGCTAAATGCCAGTTTATATTAGTTCTCAACTAATAATTTTTTTGTTTTTTTTAACTACTCTAAGATGAAAGAATGCCCCCTTTAAATGCTGAAAACTTACATTATTGAAGTGTGCAGATTTTATATTTAGCAGAGGGAAAAAATAAGCCAAGCATACATAATTTGAAGCAAACATTTTATTGTAAAAATTTATAAATATATTGGATACATTCCACTTAATCTAAAGATGTTTAGAACCATGATTTCCCCAGTTAGAAGTTACTAGTTTTTTTTAAAAAAAAAACAGACAACTCCACAAAATTGAAGAGTGATGTTAAAAGGTATAGTTAAGTTTCTGAATCTTAAATTATAACTTGCTGAGTTTGTAAATTATAATGGTTTAAACTTTTTCATAATCCAAGTTGATTTTCAGAAGCCATGCAGGAAGTTTCACAAAACTTTAAATTCACTGCAAGAAAATTAATTCATCAGGAAATAAATGGTAAAAGTATGTAAATTACTCTTAAAACAACAGCATTGCAACCAATTGTATATCAGTATTTAACTGAAAGCATTATTCAAAGTAACGTTGGGAGTGGCTAAATAATTTAGAATAGTTTTTCTAAAATCTTTTATCAATTATTAATACGTTATAAAATATGAAAAAGTGAACAATCCAGTTGCATTCAAGATTGAATCTGGAAACCCAGTAATCAGGTTATTCACCCAGAACTGTGTTGTTAAATGTGATCAGTGACCAAACGCATATTAAGATCTTCACTTCTCAGATACCATAAAATAATTTATTAATGAGGTGGGATGAAATCTCTCTAGCCACCCACATAATCAGCAGTAACAATAATAATAAACCACCCAGGAGCAGGAAAGATGTGCCTGAAAGAAATCATATTTTCCCACCAGAAATCTCAGCTTCTGAAACTAGCAATACTTCCTATTTTGACGACCAATCTGATTAATAAAGAAAGGTAAGAGGAAAATTACTGCTCTACTGCTAGGATCAAAGGAACAAAATTTTTCTAGAAAATGCTGCCGGCAAATCACCCCGTCCTTTTTAGTTTAGGGTCCCCCCCACGTCCCTGCAATTTCGCTTCCATATCTCTCCCAACGCTTCTAAAACAAGCGCAATGTATTTCTGCTAATTTCAGAATGGTTCTTTCGTGATTCTTTCAATACTACGACTATAATTATTTCAAATGAGTGTCATAAACATTCCTCATGGGCAAAGAGCTCGAGGAACAGAGTGTAAGTACTGCCTCGCGTTTTATTTTTCCCTGGCAGAACGCTTTTGAAATGTCAAAGAAAGAGCATGTTCTCTACAGATTTTCAGGAAAAGATGGACGTGTCCTACAAGTACCATTCGTGCAGGGACGGGGAAGGGGGGGAGAGGAGAGTGTACATTTTTTGCGGAACAGCCGTGGCTTTTCCAGGGATGGTTGAAACCGTCGCCCTACTCCGATTTAAAATGGAAATGACTTGGAATTCATCTCTTACCCTAGTCAGGGCTTCTCCGTAGTTCCAGGGCTGCCAACCAGCAGCGCTTCCTAGAGGGGGGTCTATGCCCAGATGGCCACAGAAAAGTCGGCAGAGAGGCGAGCCACAGCGGTCTAGCCATCCTCGAGAGGTGGAAGAAAGAGCGCGCCTGCTGCGCCTTTCCAGTCTCCCATTCTTGGCGGAGCTCAAAGTCCAAAGTCACCACTTTGCCTCTTCCGAAAGCTGGAAGCCTCCACCGCAGCGGCTCGCAAAATTATTCAAGAAGGAAAGAGTGTGTGTGTGTGTGTATGTATGTGGGGGGGGGAGAAGGTGGGGAAGAAGAGAGCCGAGTCTCTTCTTTTTCCTTTTCATCCGGAATAAAGTCTCCAGCGAGATTATATGAAGCTACTCGATGCTTTTTCTGGTTTCTCTTCGGCCCGGATTGCAGAGGCTACACGGCGTCGGCAGCCTCGGCGGCACAGGAGACGCTTCGCTATAATTTTGCGGCAGCTACCGGGTGGTGGTGGTGGTGTGTGCCGCCGCTTCTGCTCACCCGTGCACGGCAGTTGCTGAAAGGCTTTCGCTTCAGGACGTCAGAAATATGTACCTGACGCGGGGGAAGTTGAGGGTGGGTGGGGTGGAAAACACCAAGCCCCCTGATGGCGAAATATCTGGGGTCCGCCAGAGGAAGGTTAAACACGCACCCCAAAAGACGCAGTTCTGCGTGGGGTAAGACAACCTAATTTTGCGTGGGCTAAATGCTCGCCTCGACCTACTGATTAGCAAATAACTCTTGCCGAAGATAAAGGAGACTGTTTTTAAAGTCTCTCCTTCTCATCCGTCCCCCGATTTTTTTTTTCTTTATCTGTTTTCCTGAATTTCATATTCATAATGAAGCTGTTTGGGAAGTCTAAAAAAAAATCCATCCTGGAAGTCTTTAACGCAAACCACTTTTTTTTCCCCCTGTTGCTAGGATAGCTTCGTGGACGTGGCCACGAATTCCTCAGAAGTCAAGTTTGACTCCAGGCAGGCGTTACAGTACAATCCTTTTTTCTTCGTTCTTTAGCGGGGGTATAACTGAATTGCCTCTATCTCCTCAACGGTTGTAATTCAAACCAATTTCCCTCGTCCTGCTTACTCTTCTAAACAGGCGGGAAAAAAAAATCCCATTTCCTCCCAAATCTTTAATATATTCTACAGTCGCCGCGATTAAAAAGCCGCACAAACCCCGAAACCCATTCAGGCTGAGGGGATTTTTTTTTTTTTTGACCCTCTAGCGCCACCGTAAAATAAAGCACGCTTAAGGGGGCCAAGAGTTTCGCTGAGCTGCAGGAATGCTGGTCCTTCTCCGGCTCTGGCAGTTGGGCGGACTAACGGCCGGGCGCGCGTGGGGGTTTCCCCAACGGCAGCGCCGAGGAAGGCGAGAGGCGAAAGGAAGAGGAGGAGAAGGAAGGGGGAGTTCGCCGAGTCGTCTCCGCCTGACGGAGGGAAAAAGGGATTCCTGCTGCACCACCTTAAGCGCGGAGCTGCCGCCGACGCCGAGGAGAGGCTTCAGGGTCTCAGTAGCTGGGGGCGGCGAAGGGAGAGAGGCGGATGGGGTCGGTTATTTCCCTCTCCCCCCCCCTTATCCAGGGTTCCGGGGGGGGGGAAGAGAAAGCACTCTCTCGGGATGGGCCCCCGCGCTCAGCGTCCGTTAACTCTCCCCAACGGGTAGCGCCTTCGCTTCCCTGCCGCTGCTCCAGCGAAGGCGTCTTCACCTGAGCTTCCTTCTCGGGTGCGGATCCTACCGCTTGTTCTCCGCTCTACCCCACCGCTCGGCAGCTGCTGAACGCCGTCAAGGGAACGGCGGCGCCGACGGCGACCCAGGCAAGCTGGGGCCACTCGCCCTTCTGCCCCCCCTCCCCACCCCCGGACCCTGCGGCTCCCGAAGGGGGCGCGCGCGCAGGGCGAAGCGGCTCTGAAGGAGCCGTTGGCCACCCAGCGCCCCTTCGCCTCGGGAAGGAAGGAAGGAAGAAAAAAAAAAAATAAAAAATAAAAATGCGGTCAAGGAGGGCTGACTCCCCTCACCCGCCCTTCCCGCGGGACTCGAGCACCGTCCCCCTCCCTGCGCTGCGGGGGAGGGCCATGTGCGTTTGTTTTGAGGCTCCGTCGCCGCCAGGCCGCTCGGAGGAAGAGACTGACGGGAAGGGAAGCGCCTGGAATGGATACGGGGCTGGCGCTGCTCCAGCCCTCCCGCCCTCGTGTCCCGAGTGCCCTCCCGCGTGGCTGCTCGGCTTCACTTTTACAGCTGTAGCCTGGTTCGCTCGCTGCCTCCCCTCCGCCCCCAATTTCACAAGCTCCCCCTCGCTAATCCTGCCCCTTTCCTTCGCAATGCCGCCTCTTCGCTTCTCCCAGCTCCCCCGCCTGCTCCCTTTTGGTTTGCCTGGGTGCTTGCGTGAACCGCGTGTTTCAATTTATTATATATTTATTGGGCTTTAATTCACTGACAGGCGGCTTCCTCTTCTCCCCCCCCCCCCGCTCCCCACCTTCGGTCTTTCTCGCCTGCGTGGAAACGGCGGTGCTGGCTCCAGCAGCAGCAATTTGTAAAATCCCAGCCGGCCGCCTTGGGAAGGGCTCTATCCTGTCCGAGTGATCCCGTAAGATAAATGCAGATACTATTTTGGGGGACTAGGAAGAGAGGAAGGAGGAAGCGGGAGGGGGGAAGTAGGAGGGATAGAGAAGGGAGGAAGCGGGGCTGTTGTTATTTTGGATTCCAAGAATCGGGAGGAGGTAGATAGAGAGAGGGAGGGAGAGAGGGAGGGGAAAAAAGGCATCACCACCACCCCCAAAATTCCCAAAGCAAAGAAGGACAATCCCAGAAAGGACTCACTTTGCCTGATGACTCAACGCAACTAATAATCATTTGTCTCCTCTCTGGCGAATCCCTCGTGTTGTTGCTGCTGCTGCTGCTGCTGCCGCCGCGGCTGCTTATGCTGGCTGGAAAGGGGAGAGATTGAAAGTGACACATCGGGCGCAGCTCGCGGCTTACCAGAGATCAGAGCACCGGCTTCTGCTGCCGTTGCCGCCGCTAGTCCGATAGAGTGTCCCTCTTCGGAAACAGCTTCTCCACCCCTTTGCTTCCCCCTCCCCCTCTTATTTTTTCTCCCCTTTTTTGCTGAAGGGCTGAGAAACCGCACCCCCCCGTGCCCCCCGCCTCCTTCCCTCCCGATCCCAGAAGTCTCACCTCTCTTCCAGTTGCCACCTCGGGTGCCCTTTTAGGAAGAGCTCTTTCCTCAAAGCATCGAGCCATTTCAGGCGCAAGGGACGACCAGGTATCCTAACTCGGGAACGGAAAAAAAGGGGAAAAAAAATACCCCCCCCCCAACTTAAGGCGTCAGTGGGGTGGGGTACTGGGGAGAAGCGAAAAAGGCAAAGAAGAAAATAACGTAAGCAAGAGGAGCCAAGAAAACTTTCCATCCTGGATTCTCTACTTTTGATCCATGGACAGAGCCCAAGTCAGCCAAGTTACGGACAGAATATAAGCAGTAAGTACTATTGGAAAGCTTTCGCGGTAGTTCCGAAAGATGATGGAAGACGCCTGCTCAAAACAAAATTGGCTTAATAGAAATGTAGTAACTGACTTGAGTTGCTTCAGGTTGAAGTTTCAGTGTGATATGTTACACTCCATTTTATTTGTTTCTGTGTAACTCTAAATCGCTCTTATGCTGTCTCCCTCACCCCTACGTTGTGTACTGAAGCTTGAAAACGCAATCTGCTTGAGATAGCATTTCAGCACAAAATTCTTACGGCTCTAGTATTATAGGCATATAAGGGGTAATACTTGAGGAAAAATGTTTTTTTTTCCTTCTGAGCAAAACTATTTTTTCTTGCAAAACAAAAAGCAAATCAACAGAAGAATCAAAGGTTAGCCTAACATCATTATTTAGCAAATGTTTACAAACGGAAAAGATAGCAAGTATATGCTGCTTTTAAAATCTTGTTTAATAGTTCGAAAGTGGGGCTACATTTTTAAGTACTTTTAACTGGCATTATATGTTTGCTGCTTATTTCTTCGTACTTTATCCAGAATAGGACCAATCTTGAAATGCATATTTGGCTATCTAACTGGATGACTATATTGGTTCATGGGTTATTGTATCTGAAATGCATTAGCTCTTTTAAAGCTTAGACTTTCTTATTAACACATTTGTTTGCCGAGTCCATAGCTTTTATAAAGTGCATTCTTTTTCCAAAAGAGAAACTGGAACAGGTAAATAGTTCTGATAATAGTAAAGTTTATAAAGCCAAAGTTAAATGAACAATCAAGTTCTCTGAAAGATACTGTGTAGGTACTTGTTAGCTGAAGGTACCCCAAGCAGCATAGAAAGATGTTAAGAAATCAGGTGCAAAACTAGAACGTTCTGGTTAGCTCTCCTGTGCTGTGCAGCTTCCGTTATTTCTGCTTGAAGCACCCTACTTGTTAAATGTAGATGTAACTAACTGACACAGTGGATTTAGATGCTTCTGAAATGGTATTTCTTGTTTGTTTTTTTTCTCCCTCTTTTTGTTTTAGGTCCTTGCTCATTTTATTGTGACCTGCCTGTGGGAACATTGTCTCCAACTCAGAGTAATATGGATCGGAGAAGTGAGAGTCCCTGCTTAAGGGATAGCCCAGAGAGAGGGAGCGGCAGCCCTGATGTCAAAGGTCCTCCCCCGGTGAAGGTGGCCAGGCTTGAACAGAATGGCAGCCCTATGGGAGCCAGAGGGAGGCTCAATGGTTCTGTCACCAAATCAGTGGGAGGTAACAAACCTAGCAGAACTAATGTATGCATAACAGTCTGGCGGCTGAGTTATAATAGCACAAGGTCTTAGGGTTCAGGTTGGCGTAGCTTGTGCGTCTTGGTGTAAGATTACGGAAAGAAAGTCAATGGCAGACAGTTAATGCCTCACTTTAACTGATGTCTCTCATCAGTAACCAATAGGCTCATTATGGTTAAATAAAGTGGTTTATGTAGAAAGTGGCATATTTTGGGCACTTTGCCATTTTATATGTGGAGTTAACTCCTTTATGTTGCGGTACAGAGTGCCTTCTTTTTCCTGGACTGCTTAAAGACACTTTGACTTACTATTAACAGAATACATAAAAAGAATTTAAATTTTCTTTTATTTAAGAGTGCTTGTCATTATCTTCTAAATATATCTATATCTGGACCAATGTCAAAGAATTTAGCCCGTATGTAGTTTTTTTATTTATGCTGAAATAGCTTGTATTAAATAAACTATATTAAAGGGGGCACTTAATTTAGTCCCAAGAATTCTCTATTTTTGTTAAATGCTTTCTATGCGTTTCACAATTACATTATATTTTATTCTCTCTTAGAAGGATTTCAAAATCTTTAAAATGTGAAAAAAGTCATTTCAAAATCCATTTTAGGATAATATCTTAGGTCAACTTAATATCACAAAATAGTGTATAAATTTTACTAATTAAGAATATGAGGATAAATCTAAGCTTTTACCTTGTGTCTCACTTGTCACAAAAACTTAGAGGGAATTGGTGTATTGTTTCTTTATCTGTTCTTAGTTTAATTCAGCTGAGTTTTGTGAGATGTAATTTAGGAGTTGAGGTGGCCTTCTAAATCTGTAATCCTAATCCATTTACAATTAATAGTTTGGTGTCACTAAGTAAAATATAATGCAAATAAATATATAAGCTAAATAATTTCTTTACATTCTTAGGAAAAACTAAGTTTATTTTGCTTTTGTGCGGAATTATATATCTATTTTAACAATCTTATGTCATTTGGATATTATATTTAAAAATATCTCATGTGCTTTATATAATTTTACAGTGTTAAATGATGCCATTTCAATAATTATCATTTAAAAACCTTTAAGATGCAGTTCAGTTACTTTAAAGATTTCATTTTTGAATGTCATAGCTCCTTCATCTTTTACTTCAATCACTTTAGGTTTGGAGGTGGATATTATAACAAAGTCATCTTTGTGCAAAATTTCTAAAATAAAAGAAATAATAATGGCAAATACATAATTATCTTAAATATAAAGCATGTTGTAATGCACATGGCAGCATTCTTACCTTGCAGCAGTTTATTAAAAAATGAATGTCTTTACAAATACTGAGTTCTTTGATAAGAAAAATACGGTATAGCACCATTATACTCTTTTTCACAGTTCAACCATTTTGTGTGTGTTCTTAGCTTTCCCTGTTTAGTAGAGATTAGTAATTGCTAAAAATTACTGATATGTTGTATCTTGAGGTTTCCTTTATCTGTCTCTCATTCTTTCTCCCTTGTCCTCCATTTTAGTTATTTAGGTAATTTAAATATTTTTTTTATACTGGATAAAAAATATTCAATGGCTTCAGAGCTTTGATGAATGTATTGAGTTGTTTTTAGCATTCTTATCATTGTAATCTTTGAGATAAGAAAAAAAAAAAATTAAATAAGTTATAGAAAACTCTGAAAGTAATAACAGTTATTGATTTGTTGCTTGCTACGCTTTTTGCAACTGTTTCAAAATGAGCCATGGGGGAGATTGGGACAAGTTAAGAAGATTCATTTTGAGGAAATGTTTGTAATTTGCATTGTTGCTTTCTGGTGATCTGTTAAATACATTGCAGACTGATAGGTTTTTAATTTTTAAAAAATATTTTGGAGGAGTTTGCAAATGTTGCCTTACTACTACAGGGTTTTGCCACAAAAAAATTCTCAATAAATGGTAATGATATTAGTATGACAAGAGACAGGATTTTATTCATTTTTTTGTGAAGTCTTTCATTTCTCAGAGTCCTCTTCTAAGAACTTAACTTTTCATGCAATGCTAATTGTTTTAAATTAACAAACCATATTATGGTATTAATGTTCTGTTTCATGCAGGTTCTTGTAATTGTAGCACCTGTTACCAATTGAATGAAGGCACTAAGAATAATTTCAAAAATCATTTTTAATTCTATTACACTGAATACTAAGGCAGTTAAATATTAAAATAGTAAAATTAGACCATCTTAGGAAGTGGGTGATAGATAAAATTGATGTAAATTTTATTTTAGCTGCTATAACACTTTCTATCTTATAAAATTTTCATTGTTATTGTGCTTCAAAAGTGTACTTTGTAAAAACGATCAAGAAATCTGCTCATAGAATTAAGCATAGATTACAGAAGATTGCCTTGCTTCAAATAGTACATTTTTATAGAATAAATATATCCTTTTAATTACAATACAACCCAATATTTCTAAAGACATCCATTTTGTAAAATAAATTGCTGCACAGTATAAATTCTGCCATGTGCATTACAACATACTTAATCTGAATTTTATAGATTTGAGGATACTAAATTATAACAGAAAGGGAAAGCAGTTTGGAGAAAGGAATAAACTAAGGAATCTAGCTACACTGAAGGAATATTTGGTATGTAAAACAATAAAAAGATGTCTTGAGATTGTCCAAGGATAATGACAGTTTTAAAAATAATACATAATTTAGGAAAGTTACAAATTCTTAAAATAGTACTGTAGTTTTTTTTAAGGATCACCAGACTGTAATTATCTTATTTTTGTTGGGGAAAACAAAAAAGCCCATTGATACTTCCCATACGATTTTAAAGCACACTCTCCTCTTTATCCCTCCAATTATTATTTGTGCAGTCCTAAGATTATAACATTAGTTATGTTAAGATGCATATCTCTGAACACGAACTTATTCTTTTTTGAATTTTTATTTTGAGATGTAGATTACAGAAAACATTTGTTGCTAATGGCAAGTCATATGTTTTTCAGTTAACACTTCTTGTCCTTTACTGTATTAATTTTAGTAGAACTAGTCAAGATTAGCTGCTGCTTCCCCCCCCCCCCTTCTTCTGGTATTCTAGCACTTCCTGCAATTCCTAGATGCTCTGTTTTAACCATCTATGTAATAAAACAGAAATGCTGTGATATGCTCATAATTGGCAGGATTTATAGTAAGTCTGTGGGAGAAAAAAGCAAATATCTCTTTAAAATACATATGATGCCTGGGAGAGAGGTTAAAGCAAGCAAGAGCTCTGGGGTGTTGACAGCTTTATATCCCTGCTGGGTAACATTCACTTACTAGAATTGGCGTCCTCTCTCAGTTACTAATTTGCTCCATAAGGATTTTGAAGAAAAGAAAAGGATGATTAATGGCCAGAAAACTCAGATTTCTAAAAAATGCTGAATAAAATTATCTGTTCATGACTAATCAGTTTTTATGTACATTTATCCTTTATTAGTGTTTTAAACCCTTAATAAGACGGTGGTCTTCATCTCATTATTTTAGAAATGAGGTCTGTAAAATCTCTGAGACGCCTTAAAATTTTGTTCCTAAGTTAAATACAGAAAAATAGCATAACATGCCAACATCAGATCTAAGAGAAAGAGTACCTAGATCTGAAGTTGACAAGTTACACTATTTTCATACTTGATCTATCCAGTTTCTTGAGTTGCATTATAAGGCTGAAATGCACATATTATCAAGTCTTGTGTATTTTTTTAGACTGATTCAGAAAGTATAGGTTTTGCTTAAACAGTTATCTAGTGGGTGAATGCGTGAATGAAAAGTAGTAACACTTTTGTAGTTTCTCAATATATCTCAAAGTTTAGTATATCATATAGTTCACGTGTTCAGTCAGATATGGTATTTTTAACATAGATGATAAAAATATTGAAGGCCCGAACCAGTCATACTGATATTTACTGAAATCAGTCCAATGAAATAAGTGAGTAATATTATAACTAACTTAAATCCCATTCTTTTTAGTAGTTGTATTCTAAGGATATCTAGGTTGGAACCCAGCCTATTTTATTCAGTGTAGGTATATATTTCTCAAATTGGCTTAACAAGAAAATACAAAGTTCTGTTTTCAAGTTTTAATAAACTAGCTAGTGGTCAAATATTGACGTATGATTGAAAAATATATCCCATTACATTTACTCTGAAGTAAATGGACATCAGGTTGCGGCCTTAAACCTCAGATCAGGATCTCAAGCTTATACAGTTTACTTAATGAATTCAATGTTGCATAGTCCCAAATAGGATTCCAGTTTTTGTTTTAAGACCTAGCATCTCATTGTTAAAATCTTCATGTTACAAAGATTAATGCTGTATCTAATAGAACTGGGCACATCTTTTATTACTGTTGCAAGGGTCATGAGGGGAAAATCAACAGTTAACTTTTTACTGAAACATTACAGTGGAATCTATAGTAATGTGTGTGTTCTAATGTGTTAATGGAATAGTATTGATGACATTTGTTAACATACTTTTCTCGCAAATAAAGTTGTTTTTGCAACTGAGTGGTGATAACACTATAGTGCTGAAGCTTTCAGTTTTTCTCCTGTTGGTATTGTTTTATCTGTGTATGAAGTACTGTAAAACGTGATAGAAAAGTAATCTAGTTTTAGTGATTGTGACATTTTTATTATTGCTTGATTTTGGAATATATGTGGTTTACATAATCCTGAACTGGTAGTGCTTTTTAAATGCAGTATCAGTTTAAAATATTGTAAAGCCTGTTTATTTTTACAGTGTTAATAGTCAGAATTAAAATCTTCAAAATAATTGTGGAGTAATAAGCTGTTAAGTAAGTTAGAAATTGAATATTTTAAGAAATCAGAATTTATAACTTAATTGAACATTGAGATGTGCTTTTGGAGTCAACTTTCTCAATATATTTTGTCTTCTCATAAGAATATAGCTCTTTTGTGCGTTTCAGAATTTGGTCTTTTGGTTTCAAGATTATGCAATTCTATATTCAGAATGA